AGGTCAGAGATCAGCTGTGAGGTCAGAGATCAGCTGTGAGGTCAGAGTTCAGCTGTGAGGTCAGAGATCAGCTGTGAGGTCAGAGATCAGCTGTGAGGTCAGAGTTCAGTAATGTTGAGTCAGCTGCATCTCCAGACAGACTGAGACTGCAGCGCGTTGTGCGCTCAGCTGAGAAGGTGATCGGCTGCAGCCTTCCATCCCTCCACGACCTGTATGTCTCCAGGACTGTGAGGCGAGCAGGTCGGATCACAGCTGACCCTGCTCACCCTGCACACGGACTGTTCGAACCACTCCCCTCAGGCAGGAGGCTTCGGTCCATTCGGACCAGAACCTCCCACCATAAGAACAGTTTCTTCCCCTCTGCTGTTGGACTCCTGAACACTCATAATGCTACCTCATAACTTCTGCTTTGGTCACATCTGTATTATAATTGAATACTCCATCTGTACTGTTCTCTAAGCTTTTTATTGTTTTCTATTGTATGGGTGTACACATGTTTTATGTTATGTTTTTAATTTTACTTTATTTGTGGGTGTACACAGGTCTTACGTCTTATGTAATGTTTTTATTTTACTTTATTTTACTTTATTACTATTCGCACCTTATGCCGAAGCAAATTCCTAGTTTGTGAACCTCGTTCATTGACATGGCGATAATAAACTGATTCTGATACAGTCAGCTGTAACAGTTGCCGTCATCTTACAGACACTCCAGCATTTACGGCCCCCTGTTCTGGATTGTGGTCCAGAACGATGTCTGTTGTTGTTTTTATGGTTCTCAGGAGCCAAGGCAGTCGGATTAGAATTAAACCTGCAGTCCTTCCTCCGATTGGTTGGCTCAAACTTTTGTTTTGAGTTCTGCAACTGTAATAAATAAACAATTAAAGGCAAAAACAGTGGTCTGTCTGCTTTGTCCCACCTGGTTGCCATGGTAACCTCCCTCCCCCAATGAAACCTGAGCAGGCGTGGCAGCTGGAGTTCACCTGAGCTGCTGCTGAATGTTTGATGGAGTCCATCAGAGATCCTCTGAGCTGCTGATTAATCACCTGACACACCTAGACAGGTAGAGTCTGAGGGACAAGTAGAGTCTGAAGGACAGTTAGAGTCTGAGG